GAGATGTGTAATTTTTTACTGAAATGCGAACATTCTGTTCTCGCAAAAGTTTATAGAAATGGAATGCAATACAATGTTCTTGGCAATTGTTGTGAAGTATATTTTGGAATCAATCTGGTGAAACGCTTTTAAGGAAATGGCTATACTCGTCAACCGAAGTTCACTTGCACTTCTGGGAAAGGCTGTGTGAATCCTGGATCGCGTAAGTGGGGTAAGTTGCAGTTTTCGCTCCTGAGAGAGAAAAAGGATGAAGATAGAGAATTGAACGTTGAGCAAACGTTGCGGGTCTTGTTTTTAAAAGTCTCAGTGGAAGAAATTTTGGTACAGTTTAGTACTGTTGTACGCGCCGCTCGGACAAGCCCGTGCCGTGTACGACCGATGAACTGCATGGTCGAACCGGAGGTTGCATGTAGATTGCGACTGCGAATTTCGTATGCTAATTACCGCCTACCAGCTCTCCTTTGCGGGTCGCTGTTTCGCTTGCTAGGTCTACGATCTCTTTCCATTTCATATATGTGGCTTCATCATTCAGCATGAATCACACAAACGTGCACAGTACATTATGTTCGCAGGTTGCTGGTTGATAGTTGACATAGGATGGTGTCTCTGACGTAGCCTCTGGTCTACCTGTATTGGTTTGCTATTTCATTGCATATCGCTCTGTTAAGGTTTTATTTATTGTGGACCCCAGTATCACCCTTAAATGTGCTCCATTCTTCATCCATTTGTTGATTGTGCTAGGGTATATTCATTGGAGAATGCATGGCGGGTGAGTGAAGGTAGTGGGCGCGAGAACTAACACGTGTTTGGTCACTCAATGCACACACACACACACAAACACACAGAATGCGATCGATATTCCTGACCTTTTTCTAAGTAGTTTTCTTTAACCGACTCAAATTACTCGCTGTTTGCACCTACGGTTATTAATCAATTCATTTCTGATAATGCTATGTGGTATGCGGGTGCAACATTTTGTGTTTCCATCGGGCAACTGAATGCAGGTAATCGTTCTCATCGATCCAAAATGGCCTTGACTGAAAAGAAGGTAACAGACAAATTCCCAACATCACATCTACCCTGAGGTCATGATTCCAAATCGCACCCCACTATCTCCGCCCAATACTTTCCATTCTATGCGTGCCCACATTCAGTACCTGATCGTCTACAACCTTCCCCCTTCTTGAACGGTGGTTGTATCATCTCATACAGCAAGCAACGGCTAAAAAGACCTACATTTGGGGTACAGATACGAATAAGGATAATATGGAATTTCACTTTCAAGCCAGTTTACCATGTACTTCTGTCAACCCAACGCTTTTGTGTGCGCCTTGTCAATCAATAAAGAATGATTATTTCTATATAAGAAGTCAATGAATACGTTGCTAACAGGAAGGTATAGAACGTGGGGAAAATCGAAAGCGCCCACATGCACCGCTGTCCACGAAGAATCCGCATTGTTCAGTCACTGATTGTCAACTGGGTCACCCTCAGGGACCTAAATCGAGAAGCGCGACACAACTTACGTCTACTGGTCAGATTTTCGCATATCCTGAACCCAGTTTATGTTCTGACCATCATTCGCCCCTTTTCGAACTGTCTCAGAGATCATCATACATCGAGCTATTTTGTCCGGTCAAATGCTCAACACGTGCCCAATCCATGTCAAACAATTAAAATCAAATACAACCATTAGCGTAAGACCGCGATTACCCAACACTGGCGCGTTATCCTATCTTGTTTGATTGGTTTCAAAATTATTCCGGCAATGTACTCTGCTGGGAATCTCGAACTAAGTTTACTATTTGAAAATTTCATTGTATACAGGAGTCTTCACGGTCTAAACTTGATAAAATGTTTCCGAGTTGATTGGTTATGGCAGATGGCTTGTTACCACTTTCGTTTTCTTGCTCGATAAGAAAATGATGCAACCATTGTACAATGAAAACACGGGACACGAACAAACCTCTTCTATCTGAAAATTTCAAGTTTTCTTCCGTAGATCAGTTTTCCTGGTGTTATTCTCCTCCTCACTTCTACCATCGAATCCCATCTCTCGGCATAGACTCACGTTTGTAAGATGCAGATCATATGTATACAACGCTTGTTCACATGTGGAAGAAGCCGTATACCATGACTGGGTCACAGGCTCCTGTAGATACTAGTGTTGATTTGTTCCGGGTAACCATAACAAAATGTCTGATTTTACAATAGGCTACACAATCATAGCATCACGTTTTCGTTTCCAACCCGGCCGTTCGTTGTTCCAAACTCATCATAGACCGTTTTTACTTCCCAGTCATTTGCGCAAGACTTTTGAACGTTCAGTTGGGAAGCGTTCTTTGATTTGTGGGCATCAGGTGATTTGTTTTTCTGGTAGTGGTGGTTAGGCGGTTGAGGTCACCAGCTTATCGCCATGGAGAACTTGTGTTCAATCCCACCATCACCGCCAGACTTTCCCCATTTTCTGTGTGTATTCTATGAAAGCCCCGTGATTAGCCGCATCATTGTATGGTAAATGAAAGGAAGTAAAATGAAGGATAAAAATGAAAGATTCATTTCTGTCCAAGTTCTGGGAACCACACAATTCCTCGTACTACGCCTGGTCTTTCCAGAGTTGAACAATACTCTGCTGAGTGAAAACAATTTAGTTGTGATTCATTTGCGCTTCAATTAGGCTAACTTGAACCGAATGGGTATACGTAGTCACAGATCACTCACGGTATCACGTATGTTGCTGCTGGAGGAGAAAAAACAATCGATTTGTTGTTGGTCTCTATGGATTGAATAGCACTTTTCATAATTCCCTGTTTTCCTTGTTTGTTTCTCGCTACTCAGTCCACTTTATTGTTTGTCTCTGTTTCTCTATTTACAGGTGCTGTTAAATTCTTAACCATCATCAAGAAAACCCCGCATGATACATCTCCGAATGGTTCGATATCTGCGGACGTACGCAGTATGGTGGCTCGGACTACCACAACGGAGTCTACAGTGATGTTGTGTGGACCCGATAT